TGACATTATTAAATATTTACAACACATAGGAAATAAATTATTTTAACTATTATAATCACTAGGACATAAAGACATTAGAATCTAAGGGATTGGGAGCCTATTCAAAGTCTCCAAATATGTCGTTGGAAGCATATTCCATGATCATATTCCCCGTATCAGCAAGATCCTCGCCTCCTTGTATGTTGTTGTTGCTTGGTTGCATTGGAACTTGTTGTGAACAACCAGCCTCATTCCTAGTGGTGTCAGGTCGAATGTTGAAGTGGGCTTCACACTTCTGTCCTGGTGCAGCACGTCCGCGACCCACAGATTTTAAGTAGAGATCAACAAGATGACTTGGGGTATGACATTTCTTTGTAGTATGGCTATAACAACCACACTTCTAACACACAGGTTTGTCATTCCTGTGTTTAGAAATATTCTTATCATTGTTGGAAACACGAGTTTGGGATTTCTTATTGCATTTGCGTTGTTTTTTACCTTTCTTGGAATTTCCCTGAGGATGGGTCTTAGAAAGTCCACCATCAAATTTGGGTTTATTCTGAGTGTAGGCATGTACTTCAGGCAATGGAGCAGACCCTACGGGGCACTGCTGATTATTCCAAACCATAAGTTCAAAATGTTTTTCGGCCTCAAGTAAAGTTTGTATAAGCTTAGAATAAACTTGGAAACGCCTTTCACGGTATTGTTGTTGAAGAATCCTTTCAGAGGGAAGCATAGTAGACAGAGTCTTTTCTATTTTATCCACATCTGTATGTTCTTTCTCGCAGAATTGCAACTTTGAGCAAATCCTATGAACAGCATGGTTGTAATCACTGATAGTTTTGAAATCATGTAAGCGAAGTTGTGTCCACTCATAGTTGGTCGCAGGCAGGACAAGTGCCTTTTGTTGTTCATAGTGTTGCTTAAGAGAATTCCATAGATTTCTTGGGTTCTCTTCCAACAAGTATTCAGCCTTAAGATCAGGATGAATATGGCTTCTAATGAGATATAGGGCCGTGTATACATGTTGATCATCAAGTGGTGCAACACCCTCTTCGGATGGTAACATAGCTCGATAAAGTCCATGGGATGCAAGACTAACTTTATGTCCATAGCCCATGTGGGATAATTGTGGCCGTCTAGAGCAAGCAAATCAAACTCTTTCACGGTCATTGATCCTACATGAGGCAAACCATCAAAACATTTTAAGTTATTAAAATGTTGTGGTGTGTTGTAATTATGGGATGCAAAATAGAGACAAGATAAATCTTGTATTATTAATGGTGTAAAGATCTCATGTGCATAATAAAATAATGGAGGTAGTCACCATAAAAGTGTAGACCTCAAATTGGGCATAGTCTGTATTAACAATAGATGCCAAGTAATTATGCAAGTTGTATAAACTCGTCTTAAGGTAGTCACCAAGAATAATGTAGACCTTAGTCAATTCGCAAACAAATTGGGTGCGCACGTTGAGGATAGTCACTAAGTTGTGGACTTAGTGTAGATCCCATAGTAGCAACTATGGTGCTACCTTGTGTATGGCCAATAGAAATGCGAATTAATGGTAGTCATCTTTGTGAAAAGATGTAGACCAAATGTTCTAATTTGTGATGTTGGGTACGCACGTTGAGGATAGTCACTAAGTGTTTACTTAGTGTAGATCCCGCTGTAGCAATAGTGGTGCTACCTTGTGTATAGCCAACAAACAAATAGGGAACATGCGTGTTATACAATTGATGAGAAAATATACATAAAATGTCGTATCCATTATTTAAGCGCGTAGTGCTTTAAAGTCGAAAAGCATAAAAGGGGCTTAAATAAAATGATCGATTGCAAAAGTGATAAATGAATAAATAATTTGCAAGATCATGGTCGTAATAACAAGGATATTATTTATTGGATTTGCCATATATACAGGGACAAATACTTTGAATAATATCATAAATAGATATTTTACAATGATAAAATATCACAAGTACAACTATAGTTAAAGTCAGCGACTAAACATAAGAGTACTTAATTTTACAGCACATAATTATAAGAGACTAACATAGTCTTATACAAATTAATGCTGAAAATATTAAATAAAATAGAAAAAGATAATGAGCCAGCCGGCCATAGGAATTGGAAATGAATCCACGTTCATTTTTTTGGGCCCAGCATGGCTCAGCCATTGGGCGTGCAGTGAACAGCAGGGAGGGAGATCAGGGTGCAAGCCATTGGGCCAACTTCATGGCCTATAGAGGCAGATCGGGCAGGCAGCAGGGGCTCCAACCCTAACTGCCCACGCCGCTGCACACCAGGAAGCCGCCACCACCTCTTGACTGCCCCGCCGCAAAAATCACCTCGCTGCTCCTCTCCACTGTGCCGCCCATGCTCGCCATCTTCAGGCCGAGGAAGACTCCCCCTCATCGGGGAGTAGAAGCCGCTGCCGCCGACGGCCATGTTCAGCACCTCCGCGCTTGGGAGGCTGAGATCCGCCGGGTTCTAGGCGCCGGTGCGACGGAGGCCGGGGCGCCTGTCCACTGCCATCGTCTTGTGGCCGAGGAGGCGTCGGAGTGTCGATGGGGAGGTCACGGTGCCCTCTGCCTGAGATGGAGTCATCGCCAGGAGGGCCTTCTCCTTCATGTGGGCCGCAGCCTCCGCGCGAGTCGCGGCGGAGGAGGAGCCGTTGGCGGGGTCGCCACCGGAGGAGGAGCCGAGGGGCCCACGCATGCCGGAGGCGAGAGCCGAGGGTCGGCCTTATCGAGGAAGTACGGCGAGACGCCAGTCCTCGCCGCGCTGTTGAAGATGTCGCCGATGCCGAGGCTGGTCACCACATCCTCCTCTTCCTCAACCTTCACGGCGTCAAGCGTGGGAGCAGCCCGTGTTTAGGAACCACGGATCGAGCGGTGGGATGCCGTTGCCTGTCGCCACTGGAGTCAGAGAGGCTGGTGTGGGCGTCGGTAGCGAGTGGGCGTGCTCGAGCGTGTGCGTGATCGAGGTGAACTCCTTGCAGAAGTCGCACCAGAAGCGAGGCGGTGCCGGTGCCGGCGACATCGGCTCCATGGGGACATAGGCGGGCGTGGCCACCACTGCTTCAACGGGCGGCGCCGAGGCTTCGACGACTGGTGGCGCCGGGGCTTCAACAGTGCACGGTTCGACGTTGCTGGGGCCAGCACCGTCCAAGCCAAGGTGAGGAGATGGTGGCTGGCTCTGCAGACGAAGATCGCCCGAGGGGAGCATGGCGGCCATGAACAGGAGTCCATCGGCGGCGAGGACTGCATTGGCACGAAGGCCTTGAACAGCAGAGTCGAAGAGGCGGCCGAAAGGACCATGTCCTCCATTGCCAGCGTTGCGCCGAACACGAGGCCCAAGGCGCTCGAAGACGCTGCGGCGCTGTCCATGGTGGCCGTGGTGGCGGATCGGGCCATGGCGAACTCCACCGACGCTGCGAAGGGTGAAGAGCAAACCACGAACAAGATGGGACGGTAAGTTGATCTTGGCCATGGTGCTTACCGTGGTTTGTTCAGAGGCATTCGTTGCCTCTGTCGTTCGTCGTTCGACTTCTCTGTTCACGAGTAGTGATGATAACATATTGAATGTGAATATAAATGAACAGAGATTTTAGGAACAACTGTCTGTTTGATTGATCTCTTTGGATTATATACAAGTGAAGGGTCGCGTTCTACGGACGCCGTACGGACGTTCGAGAAAAGGCAACTGTTGACTAGAACAGTCCCTTCGTAGTGCTAACTGCTTATACTAACTAACTGCTAATTTTCTTTCTCTGTTGATGAGATCACTGAGTATAAAGAGGTGTCTGTTAGGAACAGACACCGTTTCGTAACCGTGAGAACAGGTTCTAGTCTGGGAAGAAAGGAGAATATGGAGCTCCTTTTAATCAACGGCCTACAATGTGGGAGTCATAAATTTTCTTAAGAGTGAATTTGTGCACAGGGATGTCAATGCTTCGCTAGGTAACTAGGATCGACATGATCTGGTGCGTGTTTAAGCTGGAAAAGTTGCGTTTCAGCCCTCGAAGCATCGACGACCATTGTTGAGCTCTTGGCACTGGGGAATACAATACATGCTATCTTATGATCAGTATATAGTATGATGCCGTTTATGTATATATGTACACAGATGTAAAGGGAAAGTGTTAGTAGGAATTTGGATTAACCAATGAATTCATCATGATTTCAGATGTGACCTCTATTGGCTCTAGGGTTTTCTGATTTATGACCTCAAATATAGGCCCGAACGAGCCCGTAAAGGGAAAGTGTTTGTACAACTGGTACCACTCATTCATCATGATTTCAGATGTGACCTCTATTGGCTCTAGGTACTTTCTGATTTATGACCTCCAATATATAATGTTTTTCAAAATACGCATTCGTTGATAAAATATTAATATTTTTGTTAGCACTACATGGGGACACATGATGTGGTCGACTTATATTTTGAATTAAGGATATAAAAAGAAAAAACAGACGTTACTACTTATTTCACCAAACAAAATATCCAAATCCAAAGAAAAAAGCATGATCACCAGAACATGAAAAGACCCAGAAAGTTGAGGACCGCTTAAATATGCCCTAAAATTTCATTGGCAAAATCAGTGTTCCATAAATAAATGAATAATAATAGTTTTGAAATGTTTTTTTAAAGTCAAATGTTACAATTCATGGTTGACTGCCCTATCCTTTTCTTCTCCTTCCCGGTTCAATTTGAGTTTCTTTTTAAATGTTTGAGCCCCTTTCGGTATTTCCTCGACTACCTCAAGTTGTTTGCCGCTCAAACAACTAATTCTCTTTCTGTGAATAAAAAGATCTCCAAATTTGCTTGGTCAAAGCCCAAACATAGCAACATGCCTCGGAGAGCCGGAGAGCACTGTAGTCGTTGTTTACCCGTGGGCCCCTGTACCAAGCACTCCGCACGCAGTTTTCACCGATCTGTTCCCCGCTCTCAAACCACCGCCGCCGTGCCTTGCGCACCATCCCCGCCTAACCAGAGGCGCGCCGGCGCCGACGCCGACCATGTCGAGCGGGGATCGACCCCCTTGGCTGAAGAAGCTGAAGCGAATCATCGGACGCCGCCTCCGCTCGGGAAGCCTCAGCACCAAGGCCGCGCGCCAACTCTGCGACGAGGTGCTCCCATCGATCCAAAGGCATTCCCCGCCGCCGGCCGTTTCGGCAGCGGTGGACGTGTGGAGGTCCGACCGCCGCCCTTCCTGGGAGCTGGAGCAGTTCATCGGGAAGTGTTACCGATCGGGGACCTCGGCCCCGAGGACGCACTCGATCTATTCGATGAATTGCTTCCTCAAGCGAGGCCCGGCTCCGTTAATTGCCCTCACCCAGCTCCTCACCGTCGTCGCTCGCGCCTCGGTCTCCTCCACCGTGCGCGACGGCCCTGTGCTCGCCGTTTCCCTGTTCAATCGCATGGCCAGAGCGGGCGGCAAGAAGGTGGCTCCAGATGCTGCTACCTACACCACCCTCATCAGCTGCTATTGCCAAGCGGGTTGCTTGAACCTTGGCTTCGCTGCATTGGGCCAAATCATTAAGACGGGGCTGAGAGCAGATGCCGTCATCTTCACGCCCCTGCTCAGGACCCTCTGTGCTGAGAAGAGGACGAGTGATGCAGTGAATATTGTGCTCCAACGGATGCCTGAGCTCGGCTACACCCCCAATGTCTTCTCCTACACCACACTTCTCAAAGGGCTATGTGATGAGAAGAAATGTGAAGAGGCTGTCGAACTTATCCACATGATGGCTGAGGATGACAACTGCCCACCTAATGCAGTGTCCTAAAACACTGTAATCGATGGCTTCTTTAAAGAGGGTGAGATACGGAAAACTTACACCCTGTTTCGTGAAATGCTCGATCATGGGATCCCGCCAAATGTTGTGACCTACAACTCAATCATTGATGGCCTATGCAAGGTTAAAGCAATGGACAAGGCCGAGGAGGTCCTCCGGTAGATGTTTGACAAACATATTATGCCTGATTGCGCTACATATAACAGTCTGATCCACGGATACCTCTCTCTTGGACAGTGGAAAGAGACGGTCAGAATTCTCAAAGAAATGTCCGGAGATGGGCAACGACCAGATGTTGTTACTTACACTATGCTGATAGACTGTCTCTGTAAATCTGGAGGCAGAGCCCATGGCCTCGGGGTCGGGCGAGGCGGAGCCCTGCCCTAGAGGCCGGGTGAGGCAGAGACCACGTCCTTGGGGTCGAACGAGGCGGAGTCCGCCCCCAGAGGTCGGGCGAGGCGGAGGCCGCGACCTTGGGGTCGGGCGAGGCGGAGCCCGTGGCCTCGGGGTCGGGCGAGGCGAGCCCTCCCCCAGAGGTCGGGCGAGGTGGAGCTTGTGCGCCTAGGGTCGGTTGGTGCTGTAATCACGCTCTTGACTGCTCGGATGAATCAATGTGTGATAGTCATTAGATCCTCCTCTTCGGGTACACCAGTATTGATCCCCGACAAGAGTAGGTTGTTGTCAATATACGTTAGTCATCGTAATTGCATATTTTTCTGTTTTTTTCTTCTATAAACTCTTTTCTGGGTTGTTGTTTGTCTAGTTTGGACCTTTTTTTTTATTAATACAATTCACTCTTCTTTGGTTGGTTTAAAAACTATTATTATGCTCACCGCATGTGGTTGATTACTATTTTGAACTGATCATAAAAATGAGACGACAAGCTTCTTTTGCATGATATGAGCACGAGATCAACATCAACATGAGAGGAATTTGTGATAATAAATTCAACATTATTCTATAACCTTTTCAAAAAATGAAAACATTAATCTATAAAGTATTAACAGAAATTAAACTCAAATATACAATTGAGTAAAATGCACCGGAGGTCCATTAACTTTCGTTAAGGTGTCATCTAGGTCCATCAACTTTAAAAACTGTATTTTTAGGTCCATAAACTTTTAAAATGGTTCACTGCAGGTCTATGCCATTTAATTTAACCTTAAATTCAACATATATTTACAGAAAACCCCTACCTTTCTTTATCTTCTACGCGCTCAGACCCTTCCTGCTCAACGCATGCATGCGCGTCGGCTTCGGCCTCCGGTCTTTGCGCGCGTACAGCCGCCACAGCATGGACCTGCAGTGAACCCATTCAGCACGCGCGCGTGTCAGCATGCATGAGCGCGCGACTCCAGGTCACCCCACCCGGCGCCTCACACGTAGCACGCCATGCAGCGCCGCCGCCGCAGGCCGGCCCAGCAGAGGGAGACCAGCCAGGGCTAGCGTCCATCGCAGTGGGGTAGTGGCTGGCTGTGGCTACCCTGTGATGTGCCCGCCCGCCCACGTGAGCCCACGCGCGCAAGGTTCAGTGGCTCACCGGTACCACGGCGACGTGTGCGGGTTCCATCTGAGGGAGGCGTGCACGAGCATGACGGCAAGAGCCAGGAACGGGGCCAGGCCAGCACTAGTTCAGTTGGGTTCGGCTGCAGCCCGTCGGCGTCACGCGCCCACGCCGGCTCCACGTGACCGATCGGCCCGGTGCGGCCACGCGAGCGCGATGGGCGATGGCCGGTGAACTCGACGACGGAGCAGAGGATCACACACTGCAGCAGGTGGGTGGCCACTGGCCACACACCGCCACACGTCGACGCGAAGAAAGCGCGGCGGGGCACGGGGCGCGCCCGAACGCACGTTCCGCACCAGCAGCGAAGCAAAGCAAAGCCCATGACAAGACACGAGACCGACAGCGGTGGCCGGTGGGCGATGGGATGGCCCCCCTGGCGACGTGTACGCGCCCGTCCAAGTGTCGCACGCGCGCGCTGCATGGGTTCTCGGCGCCGTGGCATGGGTGGCCACTGCATGGGTGCTCGCACGAGACACGAGACAGACAGCGGTGGCCGGTCGCACGAGGAGGACGCCGGCCGGCCTCAGTCTCTCCCGACAGTGCAGCTGCACCGAGCTCCCGCGCGTCGGAACAGCGCGGCCCACCTGCTCCGAAGCCTTTCGCCGACCTCGGTCCCGACGTCGGCACCGCCGCCCCACCCGCCACCGGGCCTCCCCAGGCTGGCCGCCACGAACGCCAACGCGTCCGCCGCCGTGTACCCCGCCCGCCCGTCATCGCCCTTCAGGAGCAGCATCGCGGCCAGCACGCCCCCGGCGCCGGTGCCCGCCGCAACGTCGAAGAAGTGGGCCACGCGCGCGTCGGGGTCCCCCGCTCGTGCCCGCAGCGCCGCCTCCAGCCTCGCGAGCGCGGCCGCCGCCAGCAGCGCGTCGCCGGGGCCCGGCCCGGACCCGTCGATCGCCAGCACCCGCACCCTGCCCCTGTCCTCCGCGTTGCCCGGGCTCGGCGTCGGAACCGCCCGCCCCGATGTGCCCGGCACGGAGCCCACGCCCGGCGCGCCGCCGAAGAGGAACTTGCTCTCCAGCAGGGAGAAGATCTCGTAGCTGAGCTTCCCCAGGTCCACGTCGGGTGGAGGTGACGCCATTGCTACAGCAGATGGGAGAGATGGACGGGAGATGGGTGGGGTGAGTAGGAGTGTGGCGAGCTGTCGGTTGTAGTGGTGGTGATGGTTCGACGGCTCAGCGCATGCTCGTGGCCTGCTTATAGATGGCCGCACTGCGGCCAGCCACCACACCAGTGAACGTTTCTGCTCTGCTGCGCGCCTGTGCCAGTAGGAGGAGGCGGGTTCTAAAGATAAAGAAAGGTAGGGGGTTTTTTTTACAAATGTACGTTGAATTTAAGGTTAAATAAATGATATGGACCTGTAGTGAACTATTTTAAAAATTTATGGATAAAATAATATAGTTTTAAAGTTGATGGACCTAGATGATACTTCAACGAAAATTAATGGAACCTCCAGGTGCATTTTACTCTGTACAATTCATGGTCGACTTCTCTCTCTTTCTTTTCCGGTTCATTTTGACTTTTTGAGTTTGTTGTTGACATTTTAGATCCTCAAATCAGTATTTCCTCGGTTGCCACTCTGTACATAACGCCTCAAATTGTCTGGCGCTCAAATTAATTTTCTATTTTCCTTGAAGAATTTTTTTTCCAGATTTACTTGGTCAAACGTCGAAGCCCAAAGAAAACATGCCAACCTGGTGGCCCACTCCCAGGCACGTGATCAGTACTCCCCCAAGCACGCGAAGGCAGCCACCAGAGCCCAGCCGCCACCGCGAGTACACCACCGAATCCTCGCCGCCGCCGCCGCCGCCGCTTCCAACTAATTTCGATTCGTTCCCCATTCTCACACCAGCACACCGCCACCGCCGTGCTGTGCGGACCATCCCAAGAGCGAGCTGCATTTGCCACCGAACCGGAGGGGAATCGGAGGCGCGAGTCGTGGATCCAACCGCCAGCGCCGCCCATGTCGAGCCGGACGCGCCCGCCTTGGTTGAAGAAGCTGAAGCGGATCATTGGACGGCGCATCCGCTCGGGAAGTCTCACCCCTGAGGCCGCGAGCCTACTCTGCGACGAGGTGCTCCCATCGATCCAAAGGCTTTCCCCGCCGCCGGCCGTTTCGGCAGCGGTGGACGTGTGGAGGGCCGACCGCCGCCCTTCCTGGGAGCTGGAGCAGTTCATCGGGAAGTGTTACCGATCGGGGGACCTCGGCCCCGAGGACGCACTCGATCTATTCGACGAATTGCTTCCTCAAGCGAGGCCCGGCTCCGTTTATGCCCTCAACCAGCTGCTCACCACCGTCGCTCGCGCCCCGGTCTCCTCCACCGTGCGCGAAGGCCCTGCGCTCGCCGTGTCCCTGTTCAACCGCATGGTCAAGAAGGTGGCTCCAGACATAGCTACCTACAACATCCTCATCAGTTGCTGCTGCGGTGCAGGATGCTTGAATCTCGGCTTCGCTGCATTGGGCCAAATCATTAAGACGGGATTGAGGCCACAAGCAATGACCTTCACGCCCCTGCTCAGGATCCTCTGTGCTGAGAAGAGGACGAGTGATGCGGTGAATATTGTGGTCAGGCGGATGCCTGAGCTCGGCTGCACCCCCGATGTCTTCTCCTACAACACACTACTCAAAGGGCTATGTGCTGAGAAGAAATGTGAAGAGGCTGTCGAGCTGATCCACATGTGGCTGAAGATGGAGACAACTGCCCACCTGATGTGGTGTCCTATAACACTGTAATCGATGGCTTCTTTAAAGAGGGTGAGATAGGGAAAGCTTACACCCTGTTTCATGAAATGCTTGATCATGGGATCCCGCCAAATGTTGTGACCTGCACTTCAATCATTGATGGCCTATGCAAGGTTAAAGCAATGGACAAGGCTGAGGAGGTCCTTCGGCAGATGATTGAAGAACATATTATGCTTGATTGCGCTACATATACCAGTATTCTCCATGGATACCTCTCTCTTGGACAGTGGAAAGAGGCAGTCAGAATTGTCAAAGAAATGTCTAGAGATGGGCAACGGCCAGATGTTGTTACTTACAATATGCTGATAGACTGTCTCTGTAAATCTGGATGGTGCGCAGAAGCTAGAGATATCTTTAATTCTATGATTCAGAGCGGTGAAAAACCCAATGTTTCCACCTATAGAAGTCTGCTTCATGGGTATGCTACCGAAGGCAATCTTGTTGAAATGAACAATGTCAAAGATTTGATGGTACAAAATGGAATGCGACCTGATCATCGTACCTTCAACATACAGATCTATGCATACTGTAAATGTGGAAGGTTAGATGAGGCAATCCTTACTTTTAACAAAATGCAGCAGCAAGGATTGGTGCCAGACATAGTCAACTACAACATGGTTATAGATGGGCTTTGCAAGATAGGCCGGCTGGATGATGCAATGTCCCAATTTTCTCAGATGATTGATGATGGATTGTCTGCCAATATCATAACATTTACGACCCTAATTCATGGTTTTTCTATGTACGGCAAATGGGAGAAGGCTGAGGAACTATTTTATGAGATGATGGATAGAGGCATTCCTCCTAATGTCAATGTGTTCAATGCAATGATGGACAAGCTATTCAAAGAAGGAAAGGTTACAGAGGCCCGAAAACTTTTCGATTTGATGCCACATGCAGGTGTAAAACCTAATGTTGTTTCCTATAATGCAATGATTCATGGGTATTTCTTAGCTGGTGAAGTGGACGAAGTGATGAAGCTCCTAGATGATATGCTCTTGATTGGCTTGAAACCCACTGCTGTTACCTTTAGTACTTTACTTGATGGCATGGTCTCTATGGGATTGAAACCTGATGTTGTTACCTGTAAGACTTTGATTGATAGCTGCTGTGAAGACGGTAGGATAGAGGATGTATTAACTGTGTTCAGAGAAATGTTGAGCAAGGCAGATAAGACTGATACTATAACGGAAAATATAATTTCGTGAGTAATATTTTGGATTGGATGAACTGCCCTTGGGATGGAACTCAACCTGAAGAAGACCAAAAGAGGGAAACAGGTTCTTAATCTTAACTAGGACGCATTATGTTGTGCTTAATTTTACATGAAGATGATTTGGATGTGTCATCAGTCTGGAGAAGTTACAGTATGGTTTCTTATCTACCCAGTAGTATTTATCTTGTAGGTCTTCTTGTCTTTGTAAATTTTAGTGTTTCGTTGTTGCAAGCTTGATCTTTTCTGAAGTATATGTATGAGGGGATTCCTTGCAATGACGGTCCTTAACCTTTACTTTTCTTAGAACCGTAGCCTTGGTTTGTTTGCTGAAGAAACTGTTCTTTTCACCTTTCTACTCTTGAGGAGTTGAAAACCTGTTCCTTAGTCTTATGATGAAGTCAGCTGATTGTAAAACATGTGTATACCACCGATGAATAGGTGTCTGCTGGCAGGCACCGTTTCGTAACAATTTTGTGGATGGTTCGAGGACTCATTCCATGCATTAGCAGCCTGTGACTCTGAATCTATGTGACGCTTTTCAGTAGCTGCATCTAAACTGTGAACAGGGATTGGTGATACAAAAACTGTTATCTAAGAAAAAAGAACTGTTAACTGGTAAAACCTTACAGAAGATCACCAAATACCCGCACACAACGAACAGAAACAGGTATCTCCAACTCCAGAAGATCACCAACATGCAAAGCTCTATCAGTTTTGGAAGTTCAATAGTTCGTGCACCACGGATAGATCAGTTTCTTCCTCAAGGTTGGTGCCAGGAACGAACCTGCCATGCCGGGCAATGCAATCATCAGCAGCCACTAACCAAACCCTAGTCAGGAACCAAATTAATTGGGGAAATCTGAGGGAAACAGAAATGGGAGAGAGAGAAAGAGAGTAGGGATACCACAAGCAGCTCCGGCGTCGCAAACTTCAGATCCACGTCACGCGCTCCTCTAGCTCCGGCGTCACAGGAGCAGCGGCTCGATTTGGGTGGCGTCGGCTGGGGATGGGGCGGAGCTTGAGATGCAGATGGAGGCATGGCCGACGGTGCTGGGGGCGGTGACCGGCTAGGCGGCTACAAGGGCAGCGGTCGGAGAGTGAGCGACTCAGCTCCGCATGGAGGGAGATGGAGTCCGCCATGAACGCCGCCGCCTGCTCCCTTCGGTCCCTCATCCTCTGCCTCTCTCGTGCCAAGGCTCGTCGAGGGCGGCGGCGCCCGAGCGGAAGGAGATGGAGAGGCGCACGGTGTGGCTGTCCTCAGGAGCAACGCACGGGCACGGCGTGGGAGCACCTCGCAGCCGAGGGGTCGCCTGAGGTAGCCGATGACGTCCTGGCGGCGGCGCTCCTCCTCCTGGGTGGGGTGGACGCGCAGCACCACCTCGCCGGCGACCGGCTCCGCGGCGCGCTCCGCTGAAGGGAGCAGGGCCACGGATCGCACGAGGAAGGAGCAGGCTCCTCGATCAACGTGGTGCCGCGCCGCCTTCTGGGAGGATCCGCGGTCAACACCGCGGGTAGGAGGGCCCACCTGGCGGCGCGACGTATAGCGGCTTCCCCTCGCGGGATCGCACGGGGGAGAGCGGGAGGCAAAGTTTTTGTTGCACCAAAACACAAAATGGTGTCTTCTCTTTAGTGTTTTTTTAGTTGTCGGAGAAAATGAATTCAATTTCAGGGTGCAAACGGACCTAAATTATTTCTATGTATGGGCACTAGGGCAGTAGTATCCAAGTTCGTGAATTCGTGCAAAAAGCTCGAGATGACACACTGCAGCTCACTCTCCAACTTCCTGATACATGACGACACACATTGCACATTCTTTTCGTAGCTCTTGCATGTTCTGACTTCTCGTTCTTGTCCACCAATTAATGTCGTGGAGGCACACGGTCCAAGAGGGCGAAGGCTGTGTTTAGTTCCTAAAAATTTTCTTAAAAAGTGCTATAGTAGCCATCACATTAAATTTTATGATACATACATGGAACATTAAATATAGATGAAAAAAACTAATTACACAGTTTAGTTGAAAATCGCGAGACGAACGTTTTAAACCTAATTAGTCAATGATTAAACAATAATTATTAAATAAAAACAAAATACTACAGTATCCAAATTCTTAAATTTCACGAACTAAACACAGGCTAATCGCCTTTCCCATTTGAGTCGGCCGCAGCCACCTCAGAGGTCAAGAGGTGACCTCAGCGTGGCAGACATATACTGGCCGCGGAGCCCGGGATGGCGAGCAAACCTCTCCAGGCAGACGACGTACGTCGATCGCTGGGCGGTAGGATATCGGATGAACACGCTGCTGCTGGGCCCAGGGCGCGTCGTGATGAGGCAGCAAGTGGCCGCCTCAGGAAGGCTTCATTTGGGAGGAGGGCCAGATATACCCAGGGTCCGCAAGCCCGCACGGGGATTTTAGTGGACCTCTGCTCTCCAGGGAGGCCTTCCCCCGTCCCCTCCCCCATCGTTTGGAAGCAGGGCTGATTAGCCCAGGGTGTGTTTGTCTATTGATTTGAACGAGTATACACAGCCTATCCTTGGGCTAATAAAGGCAAAGCACTTGTTTTCCCATAATTTTTTTAACAAGGAAAGTGAATATGGGAGCAAGGAAAACAAGTGTACAAACATAAAAACAATTATATCGGAAAAATCGAAAAAAGATCAACGGAAGTTATGAGTAAATAATACATCATTAGCACTGGTGATAGAAGGCTAATAATGCATCGACATGGACTTAAAAATACACATAGAAATATGCCAAAATCAAGGAAAAATGGAAAATTCAAAGAACGCAAGAGAGATAAAAAATCAGTTAACTTAGAAAATAATTACATGCTCTGTATCATCATTAGCACTTAAATAAAACTCAGTACTCCATACAGAACTTGGCTCTGAACATAGGTTTCAACATGACATTCTTCAGTTTTTGTCTGAATAATGATGATGTGGTATTACTTCTGAAGCCAACTCAAATAGAGCATCAGACAAACTAACAAGTTGATTAAGGAGACACATCATGCGCCATCACAATACGTAATTAACAACTAGCATGTTCATCAAAATAAATGAGTTATGAATGCAATGTTGACCCAGTATTGTCCTCCTTTTGGGTGTTGGCCGACTCCATCTCTAATTTCCCTGCACCATAACAGCATACCTCAGTGCTTGGGATACACATACAAAGACAGAAACATACTTAGATCTTAGACTCTTTATAAAATTGGAACTATGTAGAAGTACAACACCTGGTCATGTTCTAACACTACACCAGGAGCTGAAAGCTAGGAGCCACAATGACCACTATGTACTTGCTGGTGATAGCACATTAACCAAACCTTACACTATTAAATTTAATACAAAAGTTATTACTAATTCTACCACTGGGCAGATCAAATCTTTCCCATGGAAATGCAGATAAGAATATAGATAACTCTATGTTGGTAGCACATCACCACTGCAAGTCAATCCAATGAAATCCAACAAGACATAATTGCACTGCAAGCACACTGTAGTTTCCATAACAATTAAAACTTGCATCTTTCACTGGCCACACTGAAACAGGAAATATAGACAGTAGTGTACTCATAGAGATTAATATGAAGCAAGCATCATCTTATAATACAGGTTTAGTTTAGATGATCTAATGCTACAAGAGAAGAACACTAAGACAACAAGCAAGCATACCTGTGAATTTTTTTTCTTTAGCCAAATTAGTCGAACAGCTGGATTCTTGGTCATCATAAATATTTGTCGATTCATCTCAGATTGAAAGAGCTCATTAGCATCTGCCTTCTGCACATTAGTTAGGTCTTCCATGCTTTCCACAAACAGCAATGCACTTTTGTACAACAATGCCCTTTCTCGTACGTGTAACTCCATGCAGCCCTTGTAACCTGGGACGTTGACATTGCTGAAAAATAGTGAAAGATAAATATAAGCAAAAATTCTAAAAATACAAATGTAAGGTAAAATGCTGAAAATGATGAACAATGCTCCAAATTACCATCTAATTATTATAGGCAGCCCACATCGCTTGCGCGATTTGATCTCGTAATGTGTTGCCATCACTCGATTCTATCTCACTTGGATAACTGTTATCAACAAAAGTGGTTGGATTGATATATTGTGGTTGGTGATCTAGCCAATTATCTTGCCCATTGTGCCATCTAATTATATTGTGAAATACCGCTGCTGCTGCAGGAATCTTGATTTGAGTCTCAATTGGATAGTGTGTTCCCACTTTTAGAATTGGAAACCGTTTTTTCAACACCCCAAATGCCCTTTCAATATGATTCCGAAGCTGTGCATGCCGATGATTAAACAGCTCCTTGTAGTTTGCATACTCATTTCTCTACGATGATCCACGCCTTCTAAACTTGCCAAGGTGGTACCTAACTCCTCGGTACAATGCTATGAATGATGGAGTGTTAGCATATCCGCCATCTACAAGGTAGAATTTCCTTGGCGGTACATGAAACCCCTTCGTAAGAGCAGAACGTAGGACTCCTGCATCAGACGTAGATCCTTCCCACCCACAAGAGATGAAAGTGAACTTGAGATCAAAGTCACAAGCGCACATAACATTCTGGGACAATGTCCCTTTTCTGTTTCTAAAAGGAGCCTTATCTTCATTGATAGTAATAGTGATATGTGTCCCATCGATGGCGCCAATGCAGTTCTGCACGTAAAAAGGAACCTAAGATTGTTGGAATAATGTGTTTGGAACGATACAAGGGCAAGCAGCATATATGACTAACTTGGAAGAACGGTATGAACACTACTACACAAATGTCTTTTGCAAGACGGTGCCCTTTTATTAATGGAGGAAGTCACAAAATCCAACCGCCTCGGTTAATGCCTGCGATTAACGGAGGCGGGCATTTTTATTTACTAAGGCGGACACTTTTGCCCGCCTCGAAAAATGGATTTACAGAGGCGAGCGGGCGTCTTAAGACAACCGCCTCCAAAAATAGTATATTTTCGGAGGCGGTCCCGTAAATACATTTTTGGAGGCGGGCACACTATATTGCCCGTCACCAAAAATAGTGGACCAGACAGCCCATATCTCAGCCTGATATCATGTTCTTCATATATATACGAAGAGTTAGGGTTTCGAAGGCCAACAGCGCCTTCATCTCTTCCTCTCTTCTCAGCCGCTAGCAGTGCCCTCAGCTCCCTCTCTCTTCCTCCCCACGCCAGCTCCACTCTCTTCTCCCCCACGCTAGCTCCCTCCCGGCGGCGCACCCCTCCCCTCCCCTGGCGGCACTCCCCTCCCCTCCCCTGGCGGCGCACCCCTTCTCTCTATCTCTCTCCCACTCCTCCAGGCAGCACATGGCGGTGGCGCCCCTCCTCGGTGGCGGTTGGCGGCCCCCACATCCTCGGCGGTGACGGATCTGCCCCTCTACTCTTCGGTGGCGGCGAATCCCGCCTTCTCCTCCTCGGTGGCGGCGGATCCCGCCTTCTCCTCATCGGTGGCGGCGGATCCGGCCCCTCCTCCTCGGTGGCGGTGGATCCGGCCTTCTCCTCCTCGCTGGCAGCGGTTTCGGCCTTCTCCTCCAAGGTGGTGGCGGCTCCGGCCTTCTCCTCCTCGGTGGCGGCGGATCCGGCCCCCTCCTCCTTGGCGGCGGCGGATCCGGCCCCCTCCTCTTTCCCGACGGCGCTGGGGAGGCGGCTGGAGCTAGGGCGGCAGATCGACAGCGGCGGCGCGAGGCCCAGATCCGTGCAGCCCAGATCCAGGCCCGTGTGGGTTTTTTCCTTTTTTTGTTTATTTTAATCGATTTACGGAGGCGGGCAAAGCAATCACCTCCATTAATCATCCATTTACCGTGACCTTTGATTTAATCCATTTGGCCCGCCTCCAAAAAGATTTTTGTAGTAGTGGAACCGAGGGTTTGATAAAATCTTGGCATGTGTTTGGTTTGGATTTGGAAGCTTGATGAATCTATGAGTCAATGTTGGAATTATATCGAAGACCTCATTGACTTTCCTATGAATTGTCTCACCGCTGTGTTGGAATGCTTTCTTCATCGTTTCAATGCTAGCATTATGGGAGAGCATGAACAAAAACATTCCTAATTGCTCCTCAATCTTAACATTGCGTGTCCCGTAATAAGTTTTCTGCTCTGAGAAGATTTGCTATAGCTATAAAGATCTCAACCTCCATTCTAAACTCTGACTTGCACCAATTTTCGTGGCCTTCTAGGATTTCTTTGACCTTTGTGGCACCAGGAAGAGATGACGTGTGTTCTGGCATCTTTTCATCATAGAGACATGACATGACAGCAGGGACAAAAATAAAGAAAAGTTCATCATCCGCTTCTTTCTCATCTAACATGAACTGCCTAACATCCTCCTCCCAAGAATCCATTATCTATTATATAGGGATAATATTATTAACTAGGATATAATATAACCACTATA